CAAAGGCACATAGTTCAAATCTACCCGCTACTCCCTGACAGTAGACTCTGCTAAAGCAACTTGTCTATTGATTACCTGACTGCTGATGCCAAGAGCATTGATTATAAATCTGAGCAAGATGAAACTGTTAACAATCTCAGTCTTTTTTCCATCTATCATGGTGCTGCCAATTGGACTGGTGGTGAGTGTTTTCTTGATGTTGAGATGCAATCCATATTGAAGACTGCAGTCCTTGACTTTCATTAGCAAACATTTTCCCTCCCTCTCTCTCTCTTTACATATATTTTTTTTCTATCTCCCCAATTTTTAATAAGATGGCACTTTAGTTCAGCAAGGTCTAACTTTTTAATTTCATATACAAGGCACTAAAGGTCAAAGAGACCAAATGACTTGCCTAAAGTAATTTGCTATTTAGGAGCCCAAGTATCAGTGATTTGCAATTGGCTGCTAACCAAAGACTGAGAGTTCAAATCCATCCAGAGGATCTGTAGGGAAAGAGAGAGAAATTTCAAAATGGCACATGTGCTTGTAGAGTTTAAGTCTGTGTTGTGTATCATCAAGTCAGAACTGACCCATAGCTGACCCTCCAGCCTGTTTTCAGAGGCAGTAAATGAAATAGTAGGAGATTGCCTGTCTTTCTCTGATGTGCCATCTGGTTGATTTAAAATGTACCTTTGCGTTGACAAGACAATTCTTTATCACTTAACCTACCAGAGGTTCTTGGAGACCTCACAGGTCTGACAAAAAACTCTCCAGTTTTTTTCTCAGAGTCCAAACACAAATGCCATGAAGACTCTCCCTGAGGAGGAGACTACTCTTAACTAGATCACTCATTCACTTTCATCAGGCAAGAAGCAATTCAGAGCTGACCCTCCAGTGAGTTTTCAGAGGCTGTAAATCATGTGAGAGGAGACTGACCATTTTTCTCTGACAGAGCAATTGGTGGATTCAAGATTCAAACTGCCTACCTTTGGATTGGGCACTATCTAGAAGGCAACCAGAGTTCCCTCACAATCAGATAAGGTTAATCATATCTTTACAGATCTTTTTGTAATCCTGCCTTTTTAATCGTGTTGTTTCACTGTGCCAGTCCATCTCTTTGAAGGTCTTCCTCTCTTTTACTTACCCCTATTAATCATAGAGGTTAGAATTTAGAATACATACAACAGTTATTGTACTGAGGTTCATGGTTATGGTGATACATAATATCAGTAATTACAGCCACTAACACTTGACACAGAACCCTGGTCTACTGCCCATTTGGTACCATGTTCTCTTCCACTCTATGTTGCTTCAAGGAAGCTCATATGACAATCCCAACAGTAATTTTTGTGATAAAATTTAGAGCAGATCTCTGAATTTGGCTTTAGAAATATCCTGTGTGATACACTGAAATCATATTTGTAACCTGGTACTTCATAAAGGGTAAAAAGCTGACACTCATGACTTGACCAAGTTGAGGTATCTCTGCTTACACTCTCAGCCACATTTTACAACTTCTGGGGAAAAGTCAACCATCAACTCCCCAAGTATGGGGAGTCTGGGCTTAGAGAGAAACAGACCACTGTTCACATTGCAGCTGTGTGAATCAGATCAATTTACTTCCCTTTCTGAGCTTCTGTAAAGTGTAACTAATTTTTTTGTCTTTTTAGTGAGCATTTAACAAAATATTACATGTAAGATGTTAGACACATAAACATTCATTTCTTTCTTCCTTTCACATAAGGCTCACTAACTCATTGCTGTTGGGCAGAACTCTACTCACAGCTGACCCTCCAGCAAGTTTTCAGAGGCTACAGATGGCACAGGAGGATACTGCCTATCAGAGCAGCTGGTGGATTCAAACATCTGCTGTTGGGTTGGTAGTGCAACTCCTTATCCACTAGGATATCTCAGCTCCCTCAAAAGAAATAAGGGGTCTTCAAAGCAGGTCTCGATGAGGTCCAGGTCTCAATCAATAAAATTTGAATTGAGTTTTTCTGGTAAGAATCTCTGTTATTCCCCTGAACATGTACTTTTCTGGAGCATTTCTCACTTGTGTGACTTGTCTGCACATTCATACCTTATCTATAAGGCTGAAATTGTCCACAGGAGTGTTCCTTGAGAAGAGGAGTAGAAAGCCTTGTAGGGCCTGACAGCTAGGTGTTCAGAGGAAACCATGAGGCTGAGCTCACAGGCCTTACAGGCCATGTAGGAGAAGGTTTCCAGTCAGGAGCCGAATCCAAACACCAGAATGGCCAAGGAGAGGAGATGGCAAAGGAGAATCTAGCATAGCAATTGGTACTAGAGTTGTCAACAATGGAGCAAATGTTGACAGTAATCTGTCAACCCAATGTTTGGGAAGAGGAATCAAGAAATTCCAAACCAAACTTCTTGAAATAGTCAATTTTTTAAGTTGGGCAAGTTAGCTTCAACCTCATAGCCTCCCACATACTTCAACAGTTCCATTTACTGACCTGTTATATCACCATAAAAATAGCAGAATGCACTACCAACCCAAAAGCTGGTTGTTCAAGTGGGAGCAAGTAATTGCAAAGACAGAGTTAGACAATGACTAAGGAGGATAGAAGGAGAATTGATGCCTTTGAGCTGTGGTGCAGGAGAAGAGTATTGAGGGTACCATGGACTGCTAGAAAAACAAACAGATTCATTCTGGAAAGGGTTAAGCTGGGCTGCTCCTTGGAGGCAAGGATTCTGAGGCTTCATCTAACATACTTTGGGCATGTTGTAAGGAGGGACCAGTCCTTGGAAAGGGACATCATGCTTGGTAGGGTGGAGGGATAGCGCAGGAGGGGAAGGCCCTCTATGAGGTAGATTGATTCAGTGACTGGGGTAATTGGGATGGGTGTATTGGAGACAGTGCGATTGGCACAGGACAGAGCAGAGTTTAGGGCTGTTGTACATAGGGTTGCTATGAGACGCAAGCGACTCGATGACACATAACAACAAACAACAACAATGGCCTGGATCAGGCGCACCTTAGTCTCCAGAGTGACATCATTATTCTTCAGTACTCTGGAGAGGTCCTTAACAACAGCCTTTCCCAATGTGGTTCATCTATTGATTCCCTGGCTACTGGTACCAAGAATGTTGATTGTGGAGTCAAACAAACTAAAGCTGTTAACAATTTCAATCTCTTCACCATCCATCATGATGCTGCTAATTGGCCCAGTGGTGAGAATCTTTGTTTTCTTGATGTTGAGCTTCAATTCATATTGAAGGCTGTAGTTCTTGACCTTCTGCAACAAGTATTTCAGGTCCTCCTCAGCAAGCAGGGTTGTGTCATCTGCATAACACAGGTGTTGATTAGTCTTCCTCCAATCCTGAAGCCACACTCCTCTTTGTACAGGTTAACAGCCCCAAAGGTAATGCACTAGGATTTTTTTCAGTCATCTCCCCATACTTAATATTAGGTCCAAGTCTCAACCCTAAAATGCTTTTCTCTTCCAGTGTTCAGGGTTGCCATCAAAAGACCTTGTTTACAGCCTCCTCTCTCTCTCTCTGAGCTGTGCGTGTCAGGCAGTGGTAAGAGCTATGAGGAAAATAAAAGAGGGGATGATGGTGGGAGGCTAGAACCATGGACTTAGAAAAAGGACATTAGGAGTCTCTTCTTTAGGGGTCATCTGAGCAGATCCCTAAGAGATGGAAGGAGTCCTAGGACTGGGAAAAGCAATCAACAAGTGGGGCGGGCCCTCTCTTGTTCTGCAATCTTTTTTCCATAGCTGTGCGTCAGAGAACAAGAAAACGTGGAGACATTACACAAAAAACGGAAGAAACCATTAGCGTCAAGTTTTCCCTTTCGTACTTAGACATTGTTATGTGCCGTTGAGTCGCTTGCGACTTATAGGGACGCTATGTACAACAGCCCTAAACTCTGCTCTGTCCTGTGACAATCATTGCCTCTGACACACCCATCCCGATTATCTCAGTTACTGAATCAATCCACCTCATAGAGGGCCTTCCCCTCCTGCGCTGTCCCTCCACCCTCCCAAGCATGATGTCCTTCTCCAGGGACCGGTCTCTCCTCACAACATGTCCAAAGTATGTTAGATGGAACCTCAGAATCCTTGCCTCCAAGGAGCCACCCGTTTTAACCCTTTCCAGGATGAAGCTGTTTGTTTTCCTAGCAGTCTAGTATTCTCAATACTCTTCTCCAGCACCACAGCTCAAAGGCATCAATTCTCCTTCTATCCTCCTTGGTCATTGTCTAACTCTCTGATGCATAATAAGTGATTGTGAAGACCGTGGCCTGTATCAAACGCACCTTAGTCTCCAGAGAGACACCATTGCTCTTCAGTACTTTGGAGAGGTTCCTAACAGCAGACTTTCCCATGGCAATGCGCCTTTTAATTTCCTGGCTGCTGGTGCCGAGACTGTTGACTGTGGAGCCAAGGAAACTAAAGCTGTGTACAATCTCAATCTCTTCACCATCCATCCTGATGCTGCCAATTGGTCCAGTGGTGAGAATCTTTGTCTTCTTGACATTGAACCTCAATCCATATTGGAGGTTGCAGTACTTGACCCTCTGCAGCAGACATTACCCAGTACTATCTCAGGACCCGGGACCTGGCCGAGATCTGCAAGGGGCCCGGAAGAGTTAATGGAACTCTCTGAATCGCAGAGAACAGAGATTTCCTGTTCTTCCACTCAGATCGCAGGCCCCGCCCTCGGTGCGAGGAGCCCGCCCCTGGGCACGACACCCATCCCTACCCGGAGGAGGCGGGGTCTACCCCCGTCGTCCAATCCGCTCTACGGCCCCTGATCCTCACTGAGAGAGGAATGGCCCTTCCTCCTACAGCCAACACTCCGCCCCTCGGGAGCCATAATAAAGAGATTGAGCGTCACACGATTGGTCTGTGAGACTTTTTTTCCCCCCTCAAAAAGTTAGTTTCCTAATTGGTTGCAGCGCACGGCTTCACGCAGTGGTACAACCCGGAAGTACTCGCGGCAGCTGCCCGCGTGTTTTTGTCTCCCGGTAAGTCGGCGAGAATATTGGGGCGGCTGCGGACATGACCAAAATAAAGTCGGACCCAAATGAGCCGGAGGCTCCGGCAGAGACGCCCTGCGGGGAACGCACGTACCATGAACTGCTGGTCAACCTGAACCCCATCGCGCAGCCCCTAGCTTCCCGCCGCCTCACGCGGAAGCTCTACAAGTGCATCAAGAAAGGTACGGGGGTGGGGGGTGCCCGGGAGAGCGCGGACGACGGCGGGAAGGGAGAGAGACGGAGGCTCACTGTTTTGTTGTTGCAGCCGTGAAGCAAAAACAGATTCGACGCGGCGTGAAGGAGGTTCAGAAATTTATCAACAAAGGCGAAAAGGGGTAAGGTAACCTAACCTCTGTCCCCTTTCTCTGCCAGATTTTGCATTTCTAAACGGGAAACTGAGGAGGGGCTCCCTAAGAGATAGGATGTCTAAGCTTTGTATAAGAAGATAATAAAGTTATTCGTAAACTCCACTGGAGACAGATACCAGCTCGGGGACACAGTGAGCAAAGTTAATTTCAGAGAGAAGCTAACGTAGCATCCCGACTGTTAGGTTAGGTTAGTGGACTTAAAGTAGAAATCAGAGAGAACGAGAGAAAGCTTAATGCAGCTTTATTAAAGGGGGGAAAGGGGAGCTCCCGGGTGAGTTCCTCATCGTGGAGAGGCAGAATGGGAAGTCATACTGTGAATTTACTGGGAAGGATTTTTATCAACAGTCTTTTGGGAGGGACATTCCACTCTGATTTACGAGCCACCTGCTAGCTTAGACAGGCAAGGCCATTTTCTTATCTTCAACAGCAAGGCCATCAGCATTTGAGTTCTGAATTCTTCATTCTTCTCTTTGCCCAGACTAACACCGACCCCCCTGGTCATTCATTAACTGTTTATTAAAGGCTTTGTGAAGCACCCTACTAAGGATGCAATGACATTGAGCAGATGAGACACAGCCTAATTACAAATCATGATAACCACGAAGAGAAAGTGCCATTTGATTTACTTCATTTCTGCTTTCTGGTATTTTATCAAGAGTCTGAAGTTTGTATTTACCCTTTTTACCACCATTATCTCCCACTCCTGACCATAATCTACTTGAGAAGAGGGCCTTACACTGCTAGCACACTCTTAAGTGCTCAGTAAGCCTGGGGATTTGGTGCCTAACTAGGAGTCTGACCTAGTTTTGACCTCAGGAGGGAGATTGGACATGCATCCAGGAGTTTGATTTGGGCTGAAATCTGAAGACCCTGGAACTGATGGACGTTTGATGGTCCATCTGACTGGCTATCTGACTGACTGGGGCCCTGCTCCCTTGGGTGCTGATGAGCCAGGATAAGAATCTTTGGAGGCCAGGGAGGGACATTTTATTTTCTGCCTTAAGAATAGTTTTTTTCACCACAACAAGATAGGTAAACCAGTAGAAAAATGGGCATAGGATGTGCACAGACACTGCACCAAAGAAGACATTAAGATGGCCAACAAACACATGAAGAAATGTTCAAAATCCCTAGCTTTAAGAGAGATGCAAATCAAAACAACTATGAGATACCATCTCACCCCAGTAAGACTAGCAAAATAGAACAGCAAACATCAAATGCTGGCGAGGTTGTGGAGAAACTGGAACCCTTATTCTCTGTTGGTAGGAGTGTAAAATGGTGCAACCACTATGGAAGGCAGTATGGTGCTTTCTCAAAAAGTTGCAAATAGAAATACCATTTGACCCAACAGTTCCACTACTGGGAATATACCCTAAAGAAACTGTAACTGACACCCAAGCATATATATGCACACCCGTGTTTATCACAGCTTTGTTCACAATAGTAAAGAGTTGGAAACAACCTAAGTGCCCATCAACAAATGAATGGATAAAGAAGCTGTGGTATATTCACACAGTGGAATACTACGCTGATTGAAAAACAAGGAATTCATGAAATGCTCAAAATGGGTGACCCTGGAGGACATTATGCTGAAATATCTCAGACACAAAAGGACAAATACTGCATAGTGCTACTGTTGTAAAATGGGACTGACATCGGGGTTGGGGGAGACTGAGAAAGACTGGATAAATTATGCATACTGCATTGAAACAGATGAGGGAGAGAACTGTTTAAAAGGGATATGTGATTAGGTGTTACTGTCATGATAGGAGTCCAGAACAAAGGCTGCATAGTGGAGTGGATTTGGGAAGGATTGTATAACAATGAAAGAAGTTTTATTTTTCAAAGAGAAGAGCAAACTGGGGGAGAAGGGGTAGGCAGGGAGAAAAATGCAACAATGAATGGAAATCTAAAGTCTCTGTAAACTTTCATTCAAATTAATTAAAAAAAATAAGTTTTCAGTTGAAGAAAGTATTAGGTAAAAGTAGACTTAGGAAAACTCAAGATAGGAAGGAATTGAGACAGGGTAGGAAGATTTTGAATAGACTGGTGATGTAGAGAATGAAAAGGGTAGTTAAGAGGCTTTAGGCTATGGAATGAGACAGTATTGATGACTTCTGGGTTTTTACTTGCCCAGCCAAGTAGCACTGAGAGACCAACCACTCACTGAGATAGTGAACAGTGAAGGAGAGCCAGGCTTGTGTGGAACATGGTAAATGTGGTTTTAGAGTTGTTTAAGGTTCCTTTGAGATACACATCCCTGGCCTCCAGTGCTCTTCAGCAGAACTGTCAGACAAGCAGATGGCCATGTGGGCTTGGAGCTTGAGAGGGGGTAGGCTGCAGAGAACAGATTTGGGAGTTGTCAGCATATACATGGTGGTGATGTCTTGGCTGTGGACGTTTAAGCCAGGAAGAAGGGATTGGGAGAGAAGAAAAAGGCAGCTGAGGACCAGGCTCTGGGAAACAAACACCTAAAAGAGGAGAGAACAAATAGCATTTTGAACCAAGGCTTCTTCCCTTGGGTCTGCCTGTCACCCATGCTTTCTGAATTTTCAAGCCTCCTGTAGCCCTAAGAGAAATGTTTTCAGAAGGAAACTCCAGCATGCCCTAGTGCTTCCTTTTACTCAATAGAGCCCTTGGCTTTGGCATGCAGGGCTCATGTTTTGGCCCCTGCTGTTTCTGCAACCATTTCTCTCCCAGATTCTGAAGTAATCCCAAGTGGCTAACCACTCCTGTATTAGGTGATACCATTCTGCTCTCAGCCTTAAATGCATTCCCGATCCCACCTGTTGCTGATACCACTCCGTATGGTTGCTTGACAGTTATCAACCTTCAGTTCATAAATGAAGTGTGGGGTGGGGACTTTCTAAGGAGAGCGGTCCAGTTACTTTACCTTGCGCCACTCACTTTCAGAGGTCTACATCCCCACATTAGTAACTGGGCTCTCTCTGAAGGCAGAGCCATCATATTCATACCACCAATTAGGTCTAGCTCACAGTACTAGAAGGAAAGAAATACAAGCTAGAAATGACTGATTTCTTTCATTTCAGGATCATGGTTTTGGCAGGAGACACACTTCCTGTGGAGGTATACTGCCACCTTCCAGTTATGTGTGAGGACCGGAATCTGCCCTATGTTTATATCCCTTCTAAAACGGTAAGGACACAGGACCCTGGCGTTCTGGCCAGCTCTGGAGAAGGGTTACCTAGTAGGAAAGAACTTGAACTCTGAGATGACTGCAGGCCTGGGTCCATTCTTTGCTGATTCTGTTAGAGTTACAGTACTTTCTACTCTGCCTCCTTCATGTCAATTGAAAGCCTTCCTCTATGAACTACGACAGTGACAACAGAGGATCTGCACACGTTCTTTGTAAACAGAAGTAGTGTTAGAATGCATGTTCAGGGCAAGTGTTTGAGGAGCTACATTTGGAGTTAGGTCTGGGTCAAAGAGAGTAGAGGGCAGTCATGTTGAGCTCCAACCTAGATACTGGCCATGTGGTTATAGAAGCCTAGTGTTGCTTATATAGGCCTAGTGTTGTTGAACAAGATTTCAGTTTGTTGTTAGGTACCATCAAGTATAACTCATAGTGCCCGAGGTCAACAGATGTGAAACCTGTCCCATCCTGTGCCACTCTCACACTTCCTCACACACAGGACCCCATTGAGACAGTCACTGTGTCGTTCCATCTGGTCAAAGCTCTTCCTTCACTGACCCTCCACCCTTCCCAGTATCATGTCCCTCTCTAAGTTCTTAGCAACATGCCCAAAGTACATGAGGCAAAGCCTCATCATTCTTGTCTCCAAAGAGCACTGCAGCTTCACCCTCTCGAAGACATATTTGTTCTTCTGGCCATCCATGGGATGTTCAGTGCTCTTCTCCAACACCACAGCTCCAAGGCATCAATTTTTCTTCTGCCATCCAAACAATTCAAAATGTGTACACATAATGTGTACCCAGAAGAACATGCCTGATTTTTTCTTCACTGATTTGTGATTCCTGGTGTTAACAGTCATGTGGTCATTTGTACCTAAACAATGCTTTTGTTTCTGTGTAGGACCTGGGAGCAGCAGCTGGCTCCAAACGCCCCACCTGTGTGATAATGGTCAAGCCCCATGAGGAATACCAGGAGGCCTATGATGAGTGCCTTGAGGAGGTCCAAGCTCTGCCCTCACCACTTTGAAGAATCCAGGCAGCAGGCAACCTGGTACCTGCTCTAATAGCTGATGGGGGTGGAGAGCTGCGGCAGCAGGCCAAAGAACTGCCCACACACTCAGTATCTCCCTGAGTGCCGGAGGCAGCTCAAGCAGCTATTTGATGAGGCTAAAGCCGGCATCTTCTCAATCAGCACCATTTCCTGGTGTGTGTACATGAAGACAGTTCCAAGAATTTGGTGTGGGGGAAGTAAATGCAAAGACTGAAATGTGAGTCTGTGGGTGTTTTTATGTGTCAGTTTAGCAAGCCAAGAAATTGGTGGGCAGGAATGAGGGGAAGCGGGTGTTCTCACCAGAGACCCCAAAGGAGTCCAAGAGCATTTACCATTCAGTTCAACTACTCAAGGTGAGGTGCTTGGGTTCAAGCTGAGAGTGGACTCCTTGCTGCCCTCCCAGTGCGCTGAACTCCCACTTTCCAAGTGTGGTGCTGAAAGCTACAGCCTAAGGCAGCAGACCCTATGCTGGAGGAGTCCCTCATTCTTCATTTCTTCTTCCTCTAGGAAGCTCAAATGTCATTAAGAAACTTAAGAACATGTATCCACCCACACTGTAATTTTAAATAGGGATATGAAGTTAAATAAAAAACCACAGGGGCCATCATTGCTATCAGCATAAGAACCCCGAATAATCAATAACCCATTCTGATCTCAATTTATTGTCAAAGCCCTCAGGTACCTTAGAATAAACGGAAGAGAGTCTGGGCCTGATAGTCATATCTTCTTTGAACTCCAGCCACTCTTCTCTGACCCCACAATGCCAGCCATCACATTTTCCTAAATCTATATATGTAGAAGCACCTTGCTCTGTATCTCACATCTCCCAAGTTTTTCCTTAAAGACAGCCATGCCAGGATAATTCTGAAGTAATCGTTTGGTAAATGAATGTTAAGGAGAAGGGCTGTGAATATATTTACTCAAAGTTAGAAAACAATGACATTCAGCTTTCACTTGGACTATTTACAGTGGAGATGGATATAGTACTGTACAGTAGGAAGAGGTGGCCACAACTGGGTCCCTGTGGGCTGCAGGCTGGGAGTGGATGTGGCTCAGGGTAGGGATGGAAAGACAGCTGCTACTGAGCCAGCATTTCTTCTCTACTAGAAGAACCTGCTACTCTGTACAAAGTGGTCCACCTTCCTCTTCGACCCCTTCCTAAAGGAGCTCTTAGCCAACGGCTCTGAAATGAACACAAACCAGTGAAGCCAACCACCCAACTCAAGGGTGAGAGACCTTTCAACAAAGTTCCTTCTGGGTAGGATCAGAAGATGATGCGTTTCCCATCTGCAGGATTCTGCTCCATGGGACAGTAGGGACACTTTAACCTGCAAAAAGAAGAGAATCAAGGAGGTCTCTGGGACCAAACAGGACACAATCCAAGGTAGAGTCCACCCTGGGGCACTTACTTTCCTCCATTAATGAGTTTGTTGAGTGCATCTCGGGAGATCACATGGCCGCAAATGAGCTTAATGGGAGGGTTGGAATCTGTTGTCTGCTGCCGGAGGATGGGACAAGCAAACACTGAGTGGTACCAGCACTTCATTCCTAGTTCAATTTCAATCTGGAGAAGCCAAGAATAGAAGAGTCCCACATCTTGTCCTATCTTTGCTGGGCCCCTTTGGCCCCCACCTCCACCATGCCTCACCGGCAACTCATCCTTGTGACTCCAGACCCCGGTGCACTGCCTCTGTTCAATCACAGCTTTGATGTTCATCAGCACAGGCAGGGCCACACAACCAGAGGCAAAGCTGCCGGACAAAGAACGGGCTGGGTCAGCTTGGCTCTCAGGAGCGCAGCAGACAGATGCGAAAGGATCAACATGCCCTGTCACGAACAGGTTACTCGGGCCTGAGGTCCAGAGTGGTCTAAGGGCAAATTGGTCTTTGAAAAATCTCATTATCACCTTAAAAAGTGCCACATAATTAGTTATGTATATTCAGTTACATAGTAATTTTAATGCACCATGAAATCTGAGCACCTACATGAAAAAAGGAAAATGCAGGAGCAGGTGTTTGCTCATCCAAAATATATAAAAAAAATCCTTGATGGGACAGGTCTAGCCTGCCTGTAGCACCTACCCACTGCTGTCAATTTGAACGTGTACTAGAGCACTCAGGAATCGGGAGGGAAGTAGTGGAGATGGGGACGGGACCTGCTGACAGGAATAAATGGTAAATACCCTGCAGGGCATAGGACGGCGAGTCTAATGTGCCATTCTATAGCCTGAATGCATGTTAATAAAAGAGTTGAAGCTCATCGTACTGGGGTGTGGTATTGGATTCCAAAGTCTCTAAAATTACCCCAAGGTAGACATCCACTGCGGTGCAGTATTTGACTGTGTGGTCAGGTCTAATTGCCCTTCATTACCCCTTAAATTTCAGGCAAGTTAGTCCTTGTTCCCCATCTGTAAAATGAGGATAATTGTGCCTCTCACTCCTGGAGTCACTAATGAAGTTGTGAGAGAAGAGTAATGTAAAAAAGCCTTCAAGCTACAGTTCAAAATACTAGTCACTCCTCCCAAGTCTTCCCTGAAGGAGAGTGGCACTTTTGAAAGAAGCAGTGTAAAGACAGGGCGTGCTACAGGAGAGTCTCACCCAGGGATCCAGCGTGAGATGTAGGAGCCTACTCTTAAAAAGAGAACCATGGCTTACCACTGGCTACAGCTCGTCCTCATTCCAGCTTTTTTGTCTATAAAAACCTGTCAGTTCTAGTGTGAAGGATGACAATTGAGAGCGCAAGTGGGCCAGTAAGAACACCTAGCACCATACTGGCACACAGCAGGGTGTCTGTAAAATTCCACTTCTCTTTGTACCCTCCCATTTTTGTTGTCCCCAGAGGGTTGGGTTGTACCTGACGCTGAGGGGGGACTCTACAGAAAGCCCCAGCAGGGAACAAGCATCCCGGGTGAAGGTCTCACAGATCTCGGCCCAATGGCTGTTATCCAGAAGGTGGCAGTAGGGCGACTTCTCCAAGCCCAGCCGCAAGTACACTAGGCTGCCCATCATCACCTGGATCTCTACAAGGCAACCAAGGTGGCAACTCAGGCTGGGGCCTAGGAGCCAGCCTTTTCAGCTCGGGTTAGGGCCTCTCTGCTGAGGGGCAGCAAGGCTGGGATTACAGTACTCTCAGGTAAAACAGGTGTCCCCAAAAATCCAGTGGACAGAGGCTTTCTCACTTCTAGACAGAGAAGCCCCATGGATACCCTTAGTAGCCGGCACATATGGGACAAAGACAGGCATTAAGCAACAGAATCCTGCAGGGAGGTGAGCCCCTTCTCAGGTCTCCATCCTGATTAAGTACCAGGCTAGCACTCAAGTTTTTTTTTTTCTGTCCTCCATTGCAAGCTATTTTTAGCAGAGCAGACCTGAGTCAGCACTTTTCAGGAGACAGCAGTCTCTAAAAATTTACGGACTTTCACGTGGTTTTCATACATAGTTTTAAATGAAAGTAATAAGAGTAAAGAAAAATGTTAGTGACTGAGTGATTACTACTGATGAAACTTAAATGTCAGGTTTAAGACATCTGGGTATCAAGGAAGAGGGCTGAGGAGAATGGTTCAGAGGAGGTACTTGAGCTGAGTCTAAGGAAATGGGCAGGTACTTTCTAGGTAGGGAAAAACATACTAAAGTCAAGTGGCAGGAAAGTCTGGGCTCCAGGAAAAGACAGCTGGGTGTGTGTATGTGGCAAGGCACTGGGATAGGGGTAGTTGAAGAGTAAGCCAGAAACATGGCAGAGGTAGATAAGGAAAGAGCTTACATGCACTCTGCAGACCATGAGGGGCCAAGGCGTTTCCAGTTGGGACAGCATCTCAGTAACCATAACTCCACATGGGAGCAGGGACAGGATGGTAACCCAACAAACCTGCCAGAGCTGGTAGCTTCAATCTCTGCACCCACACTTGTCCAGACACCTACCACGTTGGTGCAGCCGAGCAAAGGGCTGGAAGTGCCGGGCATAGCTGAGGGCCTCTAGCTGCTTCTCAGGGCCACCAGCCAGGAGGCGGATGAAGTGCAGGCGGTGTAGTTTGAATTCGAGGGAGCTGTTGAGCTCCAACAGGCGCTGCCTATGAGAGATGGCCCATCTGGGAAGAAAACAGGCCAGTTTAGAGCTGGTGACAGAACCAGGACCTGTGGGGTAGGCTTCCAAAGGCTTTCTGAGGCCTTGGAAGCTGGTCAGGTAACATCTGGGTGAAATGAAGAGCACAAGCCTGGCCCTGGGATCAGGGCACAGCAGGAAAGGCAGGAGGCAATTCTCTGGACAGCAGCCACTGGCCCACCCCAAGGGCCTCCTTACTCCAAGGCAGGGCCCAGGTCTTGTTCATGCAGAGCTTCCAGGATTCTATTCAGCTCCAAGAAAGGTTGCTTGAAGTCCAAATCCACATTCAGCGTTGATTCCTATAGGGACACAGACCCTATCACTGATCAACAGTGTCTCCAGAATTTTCTGTTTTACATGTGATAAGTCCTCATCCTCCAAGATAGTTTGGAGAAGGCAGGATTTCTATCAAGATCCGATTCATTCCCATTTAGTTTTGAGGAGGCAAAAGGCTGCAGGCTGAACTTCCCTGAATGTGATCCACAGTCTACCCATCAATGCAGTGCTAAGAAGAGGTTCAGACCCTGAACTGAGGAACATGCTGAGAAAATTACACCTCCTTCAGTCCCTTACCAATCTTCATGATCACATTAGGGGGAAGTTTCACTTCGCTTTTGTGAGGGGATTTTTGTTTTGTTTTTAAATTAAAGGGATAATAAAGAGGTATTTTTAGTATCAGGCCTGGACTTGGGACTTTGGCTGGCCATTAACTCCAACCAGCAATTAATAACAACTCTGTTTTCATTATATATACATGAGAGAGAGAGCACGCTCATGTGCGAGCATCTATATTGCTGTGCATCTGAGAGCTGGAGAGTGAATAAGGATAACAGAAGAATAACTGATGCCTTTGAGCTGTGGTGTTGGAGAATCTGTGC